TTTATTTGATGTCAATCTTAAAAAGAAATTTAAATGGATAGGAAAATCCAAAGTTTTGAAATTTAATTATATTAAAAAACATATTTAGTTAGTTATCTACACTTATCATTTACAAAATATATAAAATATATGCTTTCATGAGTACGTAAATATTAATGTGCCATAAGTTCTATGATTGATGTGAATGTATTATATTGTATGCTTAAAATCTATTCTTATGATTAAATGATTATTCTAAATAATTATTTTAATAAAAATTAACTACATAATTTAAATTATGAATAAACGTCTTTAACATCATTGGGATAATTATAACTCCATATGCCATCTATTACAGTTCCATTATAAGGATTAATTCCGTTATTATTATATGTGGGTAAAAGAAAACTCATATCAACACTATTTGACGTTGAAGGAGTTGAGTTATGTTTATGGAGAAAAGTATCTTGAATAGGCTCATAAAGATCATCATCAAGAGCTTCAATATCTAATTCAGTACGGGCTTTTTTATCTTGTTCTAAATGACTTTTGTGTTCACGGTAAATATTAACATGCGCACAAAATTCTTCATCGTCATTTTCTTCTACCTGCAGTTGTTGACTGTAAGCTAATAATCTACTATGTCTTAGTCTATCATGGTCAGAACTATCATTTGTGTCAGAAGCGATCGAAGGAGTATTAGATTTGTCAAGTTGGATTATAAAATTTATTATGCTTGTATTTGAGTCCATGTTTTTGTACGTATAGCTAGTAGAACAGAGGATTTATTATTTAATAAAGTTTTCAAATTTTAATTATTTAAAAATGTTATAATCGATTTAAATTGTTTTAATATTCTAATATTCTAAGTTATTATGGTATGTAGGGTATTTTTCATGATATTTATTCTTTTTAGAGGATATACGAACTTTATTACAAAAAAAGAAGTTATAATATCGCAAAATACTAAGTCATTATACAGTATCTTTAAAATAGCTTATAAGTGGCCAAACACATTATGCACATCTACGTATGTAATGTTACATGTAAATACATTTCCGTAAATGTTTAGGCGGTGTTTATGCTTTTTTCCAATTTTATATAAAATTTCTCTTGGTATTTATTTCTTTTTTTGCTTAAAAAAAGAGGTACCGAATTGCAGTGTAACCTGTTATTTGGGAAAAAACTTAATTAGTTAGGATACGTATAGCTATTTTTGAATTGTACAGTTTCCTTTTCCAGTATTTTATTTGAATATGTCAGGTTAACACAAGTTACGTATCATATTTATCAGCATAATGATAGATCGAATATATTTGGATTCACATAATTTCGCGTCTTGAATTCTTAAAGTTTGCTCAAAAGTTAGGTATGGGGTCAAGACATTATTATCGGCTCCGGAATTTTAATCAATATAATTAGAAGAATTATAAATTGTAAATCATATATCTGCGTTTGAATAAGAGGGGGTTTTCTGAGTAAAAATTAATTTGTAAAAAAGACCTATGAATGATTTTCTAATAAAATTTCTTAGAAACTTGGTGTGATTTCTCTACGGATTAGCTTCATTGTGATCGTGTGGACCAATTTTTTTATTTAAGTGATTATTAAAAATTAGAAGATAAGAATTTATAAAATTTATCCAATCATTTAAGATCATTTAAGTGATATTATGTATTTGACGGGAATAAAAATATAAAAGTATAATAAAATTGAATTGTATGATTAGATAATTGATTTTTTTTTCGGTATAGATTGCTTATGAAAAAACTTATAAGTTGTATTAAATTTTCTGCTGATTTTAATTATTGATTAGTTGATTGTTTTATTATGCTTATGAAACCGCCACTATAAATCATATTAATTTTTAGTCTTTAACTGATTTCATTTTTAATAATCACCAAATAAAATCCTAGCCCATACAATTTATTTAATAGACTAGAACAAATTAAAAATTTAATATTGTAAAAAAAATTTCTAATTTAAACTTATATAATTTACATTTTTATAAATTTTAAACCTATTTTACCAAATTTAAAATAAGAAAAAACTTAATGAATTGCTGCGAATTTTAACACTATTCATGACGCACGGCATGACGCATACTGTATATTAATATTTAAAAGAATTAAAAGAATAATATTTAAAATTTTTAATTAATAAAAAGAGATGAGTTTTAAGGTGAGGAGATAGGTTTGAAGTGATAATTATATTAGCTTTATTGTTTTTGGTGTTTATATTAATAGATCCAAACTAAGTTACAACTTCTGAAACTTAATTCTCAATCTTTCTAATCTTTTATAATAAAAATTCTACTCAAGTCTAATTTCTTTTATTAGATAGATAATGAACTTCTACTTTACCTTTAACTGATATCTTCCTTGACTCTCTTATATATATATCTACTTTTTAATTTCTTTTTATTCTTTCTACTAATACTTCAAACTAATAATATTTTAATCTTAATATTAATTCTTGAATAGTATTAACTAACTTTGTAAACTAGTTTATCTCTATTCCTACCTTATCAAATAGAAATCTCTCTATCTCTGAAAACTACTTTAAGCTAACTTATCCTTTGATAATACTTTTTCTTCTTACTATATCCCTCAATTTTCTTCTCTTATTTACTAAGCTATTTAAACTACTCAAAGTC